CACGGGGTTGCTGAGGGGGGGGCTCAGCCCTGAACCTGGACATGTGCAAAGCCGCTTGGCGTTCCCCTCGGGGGAGGTGGGACCCCGCTCGACGCCTATCCTTACTGGCCAACCCTGACACGTGCCCCCCAGCACATCTCCCTGGTTCTAGACAACAAAGACAAGTCACTAACTCTCGTGGGAAATCACATGATGAGGAATCTGTGCTTTCCTGCGGATCTGCTCTGATTAGCTCTGACCTGGGCGAACCTCGCACCCCTGCGCCTGCTTCCCACCCACGAAACGCAGCCTCTGCCTACAAGGCGCCGGCTTCCACGCAGAACTGATCTCCGATGGGACTGGTCCGCCGCCGTCTTCCCTGAGGCTTCTGCGCAGCTCATAGTATTCCAGCGGGGTGAGATGGCTTGTGACACAGCAGCCTAAGGAACCCTACTCGTCGTCCTGTCGGGGTGCAGCTCTGGCCCAGGCTTCTTAATCCCATGAACTGACTCGCCCCGGACTTTGGTGGACAACCTTGATGTCCCCTGAAGTCTAAGATGGTGTCTATTTTTATCCTCCTAAGATTGATTCTGGTGTATTTGCAAGTTTGATCTTCACTGATTTCATCAGATTTCGACACCTTGGCCTGAGGTCCTTCCGTTTTTTGTGGGTTTTTTTTTTAAATGTTTTTATTGATTTCCGAGAAAGGGAGAGAGAGAGAAACATGGATAGGCTGCCTCCTGCATGCCCCCTACGGGGAATCCAGCTTGCAACCTGGGCATGTGCCTTGACCAGGAATCGAACCGGGGGGCCTCCTGGTGCGTGGGAGAATGCTCAACCAAGTGAGCCACCCCAGCCCAGCTGTCCTTGCGTGGGGGTTTTTTTTTTTATAATTAAACATTTTATTTTATTTCTTTGTTAATCTTCACCTGAGGATATTTTTCTATTGTGTTTTTTTTCTTCTTTTTAGTGAGAGTAGATAGGAGGGGGATAGAGAAAGAAAAACATCCATGTGAGAGAGATGCATGTGCCCCACCCAACCAGGGTCAGGGATCGAGCCTGCAACTGGAGGTACCTGCCCTTGACCGGAATTGAAACCAGGACCCCTCCAGTCCGTGGGCTGACACTCTAGCCACTGAGCCACACTGGCCGGGCTGTCCTTGGGCAGCTTTGATGCTCTTAGAATTGTCCCACTTTGTCTGGGAGTCATCACAGTGGAGAGGCTCTCCCCAATGTTTACTACCCTCGGCCCGGGAGTCCCCGGAAGGCTCAAGGCATTCCTTAGCTGCTTTCTTCCCTGACCAGAATGAGGGTGTCCCCGGCCGTCAGAACTCTTGCTCAATGACCAAAGCTCAGGAATGAAAGATAACATGGTGATTGTCACCATCTTCACTCCCAACTTGTTACCTGACTCCCAGACTGGGTAGACCAGGATAGGGAGGCATACTGGGGCGATGCTAATCACCTCCATTAGCAGGGAACCTGACTGGCTACACATTCCTGTAAGTATCATCGTTTCATTACTGCAGTGTTTTCAACCTGCAGGTCCCGCGTGGTTGAGCGACCAATCACTAGGAGAAGGCAGGATAAACAGCCGAGAACCCCGCCCTCTCTCACCTGTAATAGGGCACCGCCCCCCTGGGCCGGGTTACTCTGCATCCTGCCTGTGGGGCACGGCCAGGACATTCCATTCCTCACAATCCCCACAGGGAGCCTCATCTCCCTAAGGCAGCTTTGGAGACAGGCCCATAGAGGTCACAGGTTAGAGCCCTTAGGAGTTCGGGTCGGCGAGCTTCCTGGCTACCAGCCATGGAGCCCGGAGAGACCTCAAAGGCGAGGCGGGTGCCCCAGGCTCCTGGAGGCCCCCTGGTGAGGACGGGAACTCACTGAGTGGAGGCTTCCGACCCAGACCCCACTGCCCCTGCCCCACCCCCTTCTCGGGCCTCACGGCGTCAGTTCAGAGAACTTGAAAATGGGTCAGGCTCCCTGCGGGCCTCGCTGTGGTCTGTGGTTCAGAGGCCGATCCACCTATAACAACTTCGTTTTTTAAACTGGCGCCTCCCTTCCTTACATAATCTCAAGAATTAGAATTACGAAGGAAGTCTTTTAAGCAAAATCTATTTTTTTTCTGCGCTTAGTTTCCGGCAGAGTTTCACATTTCCTCAGGCCCCGGCACAGGCCTCAGCAGGGCGCAGGGCGCTGTTCCACTTTCCTGCAAGGGAACGCCCGGCTCGTGTGGCTCAGGGGTTGAGCATCGACCTATGAACCAGGAGGTCACGGTTAGATTCCTGGTCAGGGCACAAGCCCGGGTTGTGGGCTCGATCCCTGGTAGGGGGCATGCAAGAGGCAGCCAATCAATGACTCTCTCATCATCGATGTTTCTCTCTCCCTTCCTCTCTGAAATCAATAAAAACATGTTTACATCAGCGGTTCTCAACCTGTGGGTCGCGACCCCCTTGGGGGTCAAACGACCCTTTCACAGGGGTCGCCTAAATACATCCTGCATATCAGATGTTTACATTATGATTCATAACAGTAGCAAAATTACAGTTATGAAGTAGCAACAAAAATAATTTTATGGTTGGGGGTCACCACAACATGGGGAACTGTATTAAAGGGTCGCGGCGTGAGGAAGGTTGAGAACCACTGCTTTAAAGAGATGATGCATCTACAAAGCGAGAAGGTTCCCAGTGAGAAGGGCAAGGACAGAACAGTGTGTAGACTATTTCCACTTGTAATAGCAACCCCTGTGTGTAGTATACATAGGTGGTGAAAAAGGGGGTTCGATGGGAAATAACTTCGCAGGGTGAGCTGATCATCTGTTCCTAACGGGGCAGGTCATGGTGGACAGTCACGCCCAGGCCGATAGCTCCTTTAGGGAAAGGTTTTAACAAAGCCTGGCCTGCTCTGGCCAGTGGCCCAGAGGTTAGAGCATTGGCCCACCCACCAAAGGGTCATGGGTTCGATTTCCGGTCAAGGGCACACCAGTTCGATCCCTGGTCCAGGTGCATTTGTGAGGGAAATCGCTGTTTCTTTCTCACATCGATGTTTCTCTCCCTCTCCCTTCCTCTCTCTGGAATCAATGGGGGAAAAAAGAGAATTAAAACATAGTAATAATAAAACTAAGGACTTGTTTTGTTGCCTTTCTCCTCTCCCATCAGGGCGAGGCAGGAGGTTCAGCTAAAGGGTCTGGTCAGGAAGGAACCCCCACCCCCTCCCGCTCCCGCCATGAGCCCGTGTGCCCAGGGACAGGTGAGGGAGGCGCGTCCATGTGCCGCCGAGGCCACCAGAGCCGCAGGAAGCCCGGTGTCCTCCAAGGCTCCCGTTCACCCAATCCCAAGCCTCTTCCTCGGGGGCCGGCGCGCCGCCAAGGCCGTGGCGGGGAAGAGGGGGCAGCGAGGGCTGACGGACGCCCCAGGATGCCTCCCGCTTCCCAGAGGAACGCCTGAGCCCACCTTCCCCACCTCCCGCAACCTGAGGCCAAGGGGTGGGGGTGACTGTGACAGGGCAGGGCGGCGACCCTTCCGGAAGCCAGCCCCCGACCCTCCCAGCCCAGGGGCAGTGGGCCAGCCAGTGTTCAGACTGACGGACACTCATGCAGGCGGCCTCAGTAAACCCAAGGCAGGGACCTCTGCCTGACCCTGTCTGCAGGCTACGCCCAGGGCGGTGGCACAGGGGAAGGGCAAGGGAGGGCGCTTCCGTCAGCCAGAGACCACAAGTGCACGCTCACGCGGCCGGGGCGGCATCGCCTTGCTTTGCAAGCCCCCAGGTTTGATTTTGTGAGCTGCAATTTCCTCCGCGCGGGGCACTGGGAATGTGTGTGTAATAGAACTTGATTGTAGCCAGCTGTCTCCAAGTTCCCCACCGCCCCAGAGACAGCTGGCCACGCGCCCGTGGCGACAGAGGAGTGGGGAGAGGGGGAGGGGCGGGGCAGCAGAATTTCCAAGGCGATGACACTGATGGGGTTGGGGGGCATCTTCTGAGCAGAGTCCATGTTCCTTAAGCAGCTTTCCCTGGTCACAGACCCCTGGTCCCTGGGAGTGCTGGCCTTGCTGGGGGCCTCGGCTGCCGGCCGCCAATGGGAGGCGTCTTAACTGTGGCCAGAAAACAGCAGAGAAAGGCCTGCTTTCCCTTTCCCAGCAGAGCTAGAGGCACCCGCCCCCACCAGCTGCTCACCTGGACATAGAGGATCAGAAGGTCGTGGGCTCGGTCCCCAGCAGGGGGCTTGCAGGAGGTGCCTCTGCCCCCCCTTGTCTTCCTCTCTAAAAGTCAATGATTAAAAATATTTTTAAAATGTTTTTTATTGATTTCAGAGAAAGGAGAGAAACATCGATAGCCAACCATTGATCGGCTGCCCCACTCTGGGGATTGAGCTTACAACCCGGGCGTGTGCCCTGACCAGGAATCGAAACATGACCTTAGGGTTGCTGCTCAACCACTAAGACACACCGGCTGGGCTAAAGAAAAAAATTAAAAAATTAAAAAATATATATACACATATATATATATTTTTTTAAATATATTTTATTGATTTTTTACAGAGAGAAAGGGAGAGAGACAGAGAGTTAGAAACATCGATGAGAGAGAAACATCGATCAGCTGCCTCCTGCACATCTCCTACTGGGGATGTGCCCGCAACCCAGGCACATGCCCCCGACCGGAATCGAACCCAGGACCCTTCAGTCCGCAAGCCGACGCTCCATCCACTGAGCCAAACCGGTTTCGGCAAAAATATATATACACATATATTTTAAATATGTATTTTTTAAATGATCATCTCTTAATTTATTTTTATTGATTTCAGAGAGGAAGGGAGGAGAGACAGAAACATCAACGATGAGAGAGAATCATTGATTGGCTGCCTCCTGCATGCCCCACACTTCGCATGTGCCCTTGACCAGAATCAAACCCGGGACCTTTCAGTCCGCAGGCCGACGCTCTATCCATCGAGCCAAGCCAGCTACGGCTAAAAATTATTGTTTTTTTAAATCAAAGGAAAAGAAACAAGACGTAGGCAAGACTCACAAAACCTCATTACTTTATTGCACCAAGATCTTGGCAACAACGGGGTCCACAGCCCCTGGAGGGAAGTTCAGAGAACGGGGCGCAGACCTCCATACAGTGGCAGCAATGGCGGAGATGGGGGACGGAGGGGGCCCTCCCACAGACCCCGGACCCCACACTCCACTCTAAGCACAAAATTAAATTAAAGCCCGATTCTGAGTGAGCGGAGGCCGCTGTGTAAAAGCCCGCTGTTTACATGCATTTGCGCGCGCGTCACCTAGAGCCGGACTCGCTCCCTGGGCCCAGTGGGGCATGATGCTGGGATGTCGTGGGGGGAGGCCTCGCCGGACAGAGATGAATGCTCAGCGCTGCCCAGTGGCAGGTGACAGACAGCTCCTCAGGAGCTCCTACAATGACCCCATGGAGGAGGGGAGGTGGAGGGCAGGGCTGACCCCGAGGCAGGGCGGGAAAGAAGGGGACGAGTCTGTCAGACAACAGCACCCACTGCTCCCGCCGGGGCTGCAGGAAACGGGGAAGCAGCTCCCAGGGCCACGCAGGCCACGCACCGCACGAAGGAGAAGGCCCTGCCCAGAGGCGACGGACAAAGTGCGGGTCTCTGAACAGGTGAGGCTGACAGGCCAAGGCAGGCCCCTGAGAAAAGGCAGCCCAGCCGCTGGCTTTCTTGGGACCAGACGGCCCCCATGCGGCCGCTGACATCTCCCAGCTTTTCAGAGAAAATGAACCCAGGAAGGAACACCCAGACGACCCCCATGAAACAGTGCACACACCTCCCCGCAGCCCCCAGGGCCAGGGCCCGGCCATCGGGAGGGGCGGGGGAGTGCCGCCCTCGGTCCGGCTCCCCGTGCAGCATCTCCCGGAGAAAGGAGCCGTGACTGTCAGATTCACTTGTACCTTCGACCCCTGGGTCACCATGATTGTCCAGGAAAACGTCACCCCGACCGAGGCTGGCCCGTGATTACTACTTCCCACGTGCGCGGGTAAGGGATCGGCAGTTACAATCGGCTAAACTGCAAAGCACTCGCCCGCGGAGCAGGAAGCCAGGCCTGCAGGAGGGAGGACATGCCGCCGGCGGGACGGTGTGAAGCAGTGACAGGAAGAGGCCCTCCCCACGGCCACCTGGACAGAGGCCGCGGCCTGCGGCTGACGGGGTCGGGAAGGCGCTCAGAGCGAGCAGCAGCCGAGGGGCGGGGGCCAGCTCCGCAGTTCAAGCCCCAAACAGCCGCCTGCTCCCGAGAGCGTCCGGTTCCCTGCGAGGACGGGGGCCGGGCCGCCCGGCTCCGCTTTCTGAGGCGCCGGAAAGGCAGGCGCCCCGCGAGGGACGGGCAGGCGCAGGCGGGGCCGCAGCCGCCAGCAGCAGGTGGTGGACGGCCCGCCGAGAACAGCGACCAGCGGCCCCGGCACCCAGATTCGGCACCCAGATTCGCCAGCGCGAGAGCGCAGCCGCCGGCCCTCTCCGTCCCCGCCGGCAGCTGCCTGCTCCCCCGGCGCCGCGTGCTGTCACCCAGGCCCTGATCTCCGGAAGCCGGGGCCACGGCGCCATCCTCGGCGCCAGCTGGCGGTGCAGGCCCCGGGGTGACCCAGCCAGGAGTCCACACGGACCGCTCCCAGGAAGCGATGCCGTCTCCGAGCGTCTGTGGGGCAAACAACAGTCATCCTGACAGAGAAAGGGCCCCTGCGAGTCCCCTCCCACCCTCCAGCGCGTCCACCAGGGACCCACCCGGGCACTGGAAGCAGCAAGGCCGCCTCTGCAAGTGACGGGGGTGCGTGCGCCTCGCTCCACACCCCACGCCCCACGCACTCTCACTCACTCCACCACACTCACACTCCACCACACACACTCACTCCACCACACACTCACACTCCACCACATACTCACACTCCACCACACACTCACACACACACTCACACACACATACACACACTCACACACACTCCACCACACACTCACACACACTCACACTCCACCACACTCACACACACACTCCACCACACACTCACACACACTCACACTCCACCACACACACTCACTCCACCACACACTCACACTCCACCACATACTCACACTCCACCACACACTCACACACACACTCACACACACATACACACTCACACACACACTCCACCACACACTCACACACACACTCCACCACATACTCACACTCCACCACACACACTCACTCCACCACACACTCACACTCCACCACATACTCACACTCCACCACACACTCACACACACACTCACACACACATACACACACTCACACACACTCCACCACACACTCACACACACTCACACTCCACCACACTCACACACACACTCCACCACACACTCACACACACTCACACTCCACCACACTCACACACACTCACACTCCACCACACTCACACACACACTCCACCACACACTCACTCACTCCACACACACTCACACTCCACCACACACATTCACACTCCACCACACACTCACATTCCACCACACTCACACACACTCTCCACCACACACTCACTCCACACACACTCATACTCCCCATGCACTCTCACTCACTCCACACACACTCACACTCCACCACACACATTCACACTCCACCACACACACACACACTCACACTCCACCACACTCACACACACACTCACACTCCACCACACTCACACACACTCTCCACCACACACTCACTCACTCCACACACACTCACACTCCACCACACACATTCACACTCCACCACACACTCACATTCCACCACACACACTCACACTCCACCACACTCACACTCACACACCCGCACTCACTCACATATACACTCACATTCACACACATGCTCATTCACACTCACACACCAACCCATAGCCCACACTGACCTATCTCGGCAGCAGTGCTCAGCGGCGGTAGCTGAGGCTGGCAGCCTTGGCTGGATGAGTCACAGACCAAAAGTTCCGTCTATTCTGAAGTTTCTGGAAGGCATTGAAGTTTCTTTTCCTTTCTCTCTTGAACTTTTTAATTTTCTTTTCCTGTTTCGAGAATCACAGGTGTCACAACTGCCAGAAGGGCGGTCTCTGGTCCCAGTGGCCACTACGTGCGACACAGCTCTCAATGCGTGACAGAACAAGCTTACTCCTCCCGTGGCCTCTGGGAGGCGCCCACTCCCCCACTTCACAGATGAAGGGACAGGAGCGACCGGGGACCAGTGCCCTGCCCGCGGCCGCGCAGCACCTGAACCTGGCACCTGGCTCCAGTCCGGGCCACAACCATGTCAAACCGCCCGAGAAGCAGGCCTCCGTGACCGCGGTCGCCGTACCTTCCCACGATCGAACTCTTCATCCCAGTCGTCGATCACCGCGGAGGCGCGGGCCAACCTGCTGTCGTGCATGGCATCCCGGCTGACAGCCGACACCTCACCGCCCCACGTCAGAACTGCAACAGACACGCGTGGTGGCCCCTCGGATCCCCACCACCCTCATTATTCCTCCTTTATAAGGCAACTAACTTTGCCGGGACAACACTGGTTCTAGGTCTGAAGTGACCGTTCTCTGTCCATCGCTGTATTCCGCACCACAGCCCACCCGCCGGCCCTGTCCTCCCACAGGCGGCCCCTTCACCCTACAACTACCCCTCCCCACCCCGTGCAGTTGTTTCTAAACCCCCGGCCTCATCTGAGAAACAAAGACCTCGTGTTCTTTCTCCAGGTCTGACTTATAAAAACGAGCTTGCGAATAAGAAGTCACCCTTGAGTGCTGGGCCTGTGCTGCTGCCCCCTCCCTCCTGGCCTGTCCTGTCCTGTCCCCCGGGGTGCACGCTCTGGGCTCTCCCACTCTCCTGCCCCTGGACCCAGGGAGAAGCTGTTCTGGATCTTTCCACAGATAACCTCCGCCCTGTGAGGACCAGTTCTTAACCTCTGTGCGATGGGGTCAGACAGGACCGTTTAGACCAGTGGTTCTCAACCTTCCTAATGCCGCGACCCTTTAATACAGTTCCTCATGTTGTGGTGACCCCCAATTTCATTGTTACAAATTGAACATCATTAAAACATAGTGATTAATCACAAAAAAAGTATATAATTATATATGTGTTTTCCGACGGTCTTAGGCGACCCCTGTGAAAGGGTCGTTCAGCCCCCAAAGGGTAGCGACCCACAGGTTGAGAGCCGCTGGTTTAGACGCTCTTCCCATCTTTACAGCCAAGTGACACCTGCGTGCTCCGGGCACCAGCATCCACCCCCAAAATGACAGACGCCCAGGCTGGAGCAGCACCTTTCTTCCCGTAGGCTTTATCCGACGCGCATTCGAGCAGCTCCCACACCACGCTGGCGCCGCGCTCCCTGGACCAGGAGTGCTGAGGCGTCTGCTCCGGCCCTGCGAGCAGACACACTAAGTGTGCGTTGGCAGCCACCATGCGGGGGCGCCCACCCTGGACTCAGAGCAGGGCTCCAGGCCAGTCTTCCCGCCGGAAGGGGTTGCCCATGAAGCAGCCCTCCACCCAGGACCCTGCCCCGCCCGGCGCACACCTGCCAGGCCCCCGGGACTCTGGCCGTTGACAGCAGGCGCCGGGCTGCTCCCGGGGACGGCAGGGCCCCTCCGGCCTCCGGGGTGCTCCTCCTCTTCTCCTTCCTGCCGGGGCTCCGGCTTTCTCTTTTTCTTCTTCTTTTTCCTTGGAGATGCTGCCGTGGCCTCTGGCTCGGTGTCCGAGGGGGAGCAGCTCCTGGGGTCAGCGTCACACTCAGCTCCCTCCCCGTTCCACTGGCGTGCCTGACCCACGGTCACCCGGACTAGCCCCACCCTGAGCCTGGCCAGGGACCAGTCACGCTGCTGTCCATGCCACAGCCAAGCATGGGGGCGCTGGAGCTCCACCCACGAGAGTCCTACCAGCGGGTGATACGAGTGCAGGGCCAGCCGGGCTGGGTCAGGTGACCGCCTGTGCATGGTGCCGGCCAGGTATGCTGCTGCCACCCACTCGCCCGGGTCAGCAGTCTGGACCTGCCAGCAACACCCACGGGGGGGGGGGGGGGGGGAGATTGGTGGTGGGAGGCAGGGTGTCTGGCTCCTGGTTCTCACCTGTGCCAAGGCGGGTCCTGGCGGAGGCAGGCTTCTCCTTCTCTGCCAAGGCCGTCCACTCCCTTCCTCCTGCTCTTGCTCATGTGGGGGCTGTCCGTCCTGCATCCCACCGGCCAGCCATTCACCAGGCCCCGGCCGTTCCCAGGCTGCTGCCCACCCTCTGCCTCCAGGCTGGAAGCTGGTCGCTCCACGCTGCCCTCCGGCCTGCGCTCGGGGCTCCACTGCAGGCGGGCGGCGTCCGTGTCCTCGGGGCGCTTCCTCTTCCTCCTCCTCTTTCCAGGAGGGGCCGCTGCCTCCCCAGCCTCCGAGCCCGGCCTCCGGGCCTCTCCCAGGCGCTTCCGTTTCCTCTTCTTACAAAGGCTCTGGAGGGGCTCGCTGGCCTCGGGCTGGTGTGGGGGGGCCCGAAAGCCCCCGTTGACCTGAGGCAGGGGAGCACAGGCGGAGTTCGGGGGGCTGCAGGGCAGGGTGGCGGCGTGGGGGTGCTTTGGGACGCTGGATGATCCGGGAGCAGGTGACACAGCCCTGTGAGGACAGACGGGCAGTGAGACGGCTGTTCTCAGACCCAGGCCCACCCTCAGCAGCCCCCTCCCCCCAGGAACCTCAGCTTAAAAAACTGGGTGTAAGTTAAAAGACAGACTAGCGATGACATTCAGGCCTACTTAAGATCAAGGTTAACAAAAGTCATTGTCTCTCTCTGTTTCTCATCACCAAGCAGTACAATGTGCGTCTGCAAACTCCAATGTTTTGCATTTTTGGTACAAATGTGTAAAAGCTACAATGAATCCCCACCCTCCGGAGTCTCGGGGTGTCCAGGCACAAGAAGGGCCATACGAGGGGCCCGGACAGGCCTTTGCATCTTCCACTCTGACTGTGTCCTCGGGGATCTGGGGTTCAGGGAATCAGGGAATCCGATTTCACCAGGGGGCCTCCCAGGACGAGCGGGGACGAGGGACGGAGTCTAGAGCAGGTCAGGTCGGCTCTGACCTGTGCCCCGCTCGCTATGGACCCGGAAGGGTTAACTCTCCACACGGAGACCCCACCTGAAAATGACTGACCGGAACGCCAGCCTGAGGTCACCAGAGAAACAGTCACTGTCACCATCTCCACCAGAGCAAGCTACGATGCCCACCGACTGTCTACACCTCACCACTCTGCGCTTTCCGGAATTACAAGTCAGACAAAGAAAACTACCCAGTAAATACCTCACGCGCTTCAGGACCTGCCACGCGCACTGGCCTCCGTGGCGGCCACCGCAGTTCTCGTGGGCGCACGGGGACAGCAGCCGCCCCGGCCCAGCCCGCGCTTACCTGCTGGCACCCACAGGCCGGGCGCAGGCGGCGGCGGGGTGAGTGGCTTTCCTGGGGTGGGTGAGGTCGGACAGTGGCGGGGGGCGCGGCGCTCGGTCAGTGCCGGGGGCCCTCCGCAGGGGGCTGGCCTGCAGTTATTGACATAAATAAAAACTTGGTGGTCTAAGAAAGTTGTGGTGAGTGAGAGGAAAAATAAATGTAAAAAAAAAACAAATACAAAAAAACAAATGAAAGAGTTCAGAAAGCAGGATGGGGGACAGCGAGGGGTGGGGGTGATAGAAGAAGAATCAGAAGTGTTTTTGGTTAGAAACAAAAAGGAAAAAGGAAGGAAATTTCAACAAAAGCCCAAGCAGGCCCATTCCACCACGGAGCTCTGCGGTGCACCCAGAGGCTCCAGCGCCCGTGTCCCGTGTCCCGCGGCCACCCCGTGCTCGGAGCACCGTGAGCCCAGCACCCCGTCCTCCCTCTGGATCCTGGTTCCTCCCCCGAGAGAGGGAGACCTGCATCGCCCCAAGTCTCTGTCAGCACATGGAGTGACAGTGGGAAATCAGGGTTCTCTGAACCCCAATTCTGGGAAAGCCCCTCGGATCTGCAGTGCCCAGGAGGCCCCAGGGTCTCGCTCCCCAAACCAAGCCACCCGACACTCCCAACCATGACACCCCAACACCCACCTTCTTGGCAGAAAGGGCCAGCTTCTTGGCGGGCGGAGGAGACATGGCGTTTACGGGCTCGGTGGCCATATTGCTCAGGGCCGGGGCCCGCGGCTTCCCCACTGTGGAGGCTTCGCCGTTTAGCAGCGCCCTGGGCGGGCCGGCCGTGGGGGTCCTTCCCTGAGAGTCACAGAAGCGGGCGGCCCCGCTCCTGGGGGTTGGGGGACCCTGGGCGGGGTCGCTGCTCCCTGAATGCTCGGGGCTGGAACTGCTGGAGGCTGCCCTGTCCGGGGCAATGCCCGCAGGCCCGTGCCCGTTGGCGGTTGCTGTCGGCACGAGCTTGGGTGAGGTAGAGAGGCCAGCGCCCCTGCCATCCCAGGAGCCTGGCCTGTGGCTGTCACCCCTGCCGCTGGCCCCGTGGGACCCCGGAGAAGTCTTGAGGGGCGGGGAGAGGTGCTGCAGGGGGGCCGACTTCTTGACTTTCTTTCCAGGCTCATCCAGGATGGTCGGCAGGGGTGTGGGTGCTTTGGAGAGTCGGGGGGAAGGGGACCCCAAGGGCAGCTTTGGAGGAATGTGTCCATTCTGAGACTTTAGGCCCGACAGGAAGCCGTTCCTGGACACGGGCACACCCGTCTCCCCGGGGGCCTGCAGCTTCCTCATGGCCACTGGGTCCGGTCTCTGAAAGACAGCGGGCAGGACGGTCAGACTTGGCAATGCTCCGGCAGGTGCGGGCACACTGCGCGCAGCAGGCCCCGGCCACGCAGGAAACACGCTGTGACTTCTCTAAGCAATCTTACCCACGGGCGTGTATCTTTACAGCCGCCTTCACTGTGAAAGCAGCACATTTTCACCAACATTTGAGAAATACAAAAAAACATAAAGGAAAAAATGACCAGTCCCATCCCATTGCACAGCCACCGATGAACACACGGTGTTCTCTCCTTGGGGCTTGCTTCTGCAGGTTTGGGCCGCAGAGGGAGACCAGTTGGCTTCCCGATCCACCCTTTCAGGCTCTCAGGAAAGGTCTGTGATGTTGGGCTGGCAGCTGCACAGTCTCCAGGGGTCCTGGAGTCGCCACCACAGGGAATCCTCACCCCCCGTGCAAACCCACTCCATCAGAACGCAAAGCCACAGCTCCACATTCGATGCTGCCACCTCCCACCCCAGGCCTGAATCTGAGCATTTACCATCGCAGCCGCCCAACCACTTCCCGGCTAGTGGAATCTGTGCTTAAAAACTACTTGTTAGCTCTGACCGGTTTGGCTCAGTGGATGGAGCGTCGGCCTGCGGACTCAAGGGTCCCAGGTTCAATTCCGGTCAAGGGCATGTACCTTGGTTGCGGGCACATACCCAGTAGGGGGCGTGCAGGAGGCAGCTGATCGATGTTTCTCTCTCATCGATGTTTCTGACTCTCTATCCCTCTCCCTTCCTCACTAAATGTGCGGACGGTGCTCCCCACACACCCTCAGCGTTAAATGTGTGGACGGTGCTCTCCACACACCCTCAGCACTAAATGTGCAGACGGATGCGTTTTCCCGATGCTTCAGGCCAAGGGTTTGCTCAGAGAGCCTGTCCCTGTGCTTCTGCGTGGCAGCTGGTCCAGAGCAGGGACACAGCACGACCGCGTCCCGAATTGCTGGGTCATCACTGACCCTCCTCCTGCTCGCCCTGTCAGCTGACGACCGACTTAGGAGAGAGCACGGACCAAAGTAGGACGGCTGTCTGCCTCTCTGCCCCCGGCACAGCGCAGCCTGCAGAGCTGGCTCCTCCACGGCCCAGGAGGCAGTGCGTGTGGCCGCGATGCAGGCACCGATCCCCTTGAGCAGGTACCTTTCCAGGCAGCAGGGACGAGGGGGTCCCATTGCTGGCGCTCTTCCTGCCGTGGTCGGGAGCCCCACCGGGGCGGCCGGAGAGGGCGGAGCCGGCCCTGGAGATGGCGCCCTCGGGACTCTTCTTGGAGCCTGGGATTCTGTCCAAGAAGAAAAGCGGTCAGGGGCTCTCCACTAGCGCTGCCGTCGTTACAGAGCCTCGGTGTGAGAAGGAGCCAGGGTACATAAAGTCAAGGTGACAATTTCGCTAAAATAAAAGAGAAGGCAGAAACCCGGAGACACCTGGCCCTCCTAGCCCGTGTCTCTGAAAGCCCCCTTGGCCCTTGACCCACGTGAAGTTGTAGGTGGCCTGGGACACGCGCTCCGTATGGCAGAGAGCGAACTATAGTTACGGCTCCAAGACCAGAGGCTGTTTCTCAGAAAGCCAGACTGACGCCTCCAGCTCCTCATCCAAGTTGAGCAGAACGCATACGAGGCCGCAAAACTCCCCCGGCCTCCACGCCCTCCCGCCCCGGTCGGTGACAGCCAGCCCCCACAAAAGGCACCTTCCCAAGGTGCTCTGCTGCAGCCCACCCTGACCACTGCCCACAGAGGAAGGGGTGCTGGCTAGCCAGTGTCTCCGGTTTGGGCACCAAGAGAAGCGGTCACTTCCGCGTCACATTCACGTCACCTCGGTGGGGGCAGAGGGAACCCTGCTTGGACCTTCCCAGAGGCTCTGGCTTTTACAACAGCCAGAGGACGTGGTCTGAACGTCCCTCCCGGTGGACACAGCCACACCCACGATGGGGGGTGGGGGGCGTTACCGCAGGTAGAAGAGCACGTAGGCCTGCTGGTTCAGAACCACCTTGATGTTGCTGGAATGGACCAGGGAATCGTTCATCTGGTACCACTGCCCGTTGCTTGCCTGGAGCAGCCCAGGGGGAGGGAAGACAAAACGAACAGCAGACATTCCATGAGCCTCACTTTTAAACAGGCAGCAAAGAATCCGCTGCGCACCGCCACCCACATTAACTGGCCATGATTCCACGTTAAAATATCTGCTACCTGCCTCGCCGTGAACGCAACCCCACCCCTCCTTCCTGGCCCACAGTCCCAGGCTCTTCCTCCCAAGGGCATGTGGGCAGCTCCCATTAGCGAGGCGTCTCCACCACCCCTGGGCCTCCCCGCGTCGTGTCCTGGGTTCTAGGCCAGAGCCTCACTCAAGTGCACCCACACTGCCGACCCCGCAAGACAGTCTCAGAGCCGCTGCCCCACGCGCTGAGGCCACACTGGGCCTGAGCACCACTGCAGAACACGCCACTCCCCAGACACGCGTGCTGCAGAACACGGCCACTGCCCAGACACGTGTGCTGCAGAACACGCCACTCCCCAGACACATGTGCTGCAGAACATGGCCACTCCCCAGACACACGTGCTGCAGAACACGCCACTCCCCAGACACGCGTGCTGTAGAACATGCCACTCCCCAGACACGTGTGCTGCAGAACACGTCACTCCCCAGACACGTGTGCTGCAGAACACGGCCACTGCCCAGACACGCGTGCTGCAGAACACGGCCACTCCCCAGACACATGTGCTGCAGAACACGCCACTCCCCAGACACATGTGCTGCAGAACATGGCCACTCCCCAGACACACGTGCTGCAGAACACGCCACTCCCCAGACACGCGTGCTGCAGAGGCTGCCTCTGTGCCTGGGCAGACCCGCCCCCCAACTTGCCCGGGTGCACCCTCCGCCACCCACCGTGTGGGCACCGACCTTCACGTAGCAGTAGTAGTGCCCGGCGTGGCAGCTGTGGCCCGAATGGACCAGGACGGCGTACAGCCCGTACACGACGGGCTCGCCGCTGCTCTGCGACATGTACGGGCGGATGTTCAGAAACTCGGGGTAGCCCACGTCCTGTAGGGAAGCCAGGAGAAGGCGGTTGCAGGCTCTGCATCTGGCTTCCTTAGATCAGCACGCTGTGGTGCTTGCCTGCACATCCTCCCCCTTACCGATGGACTCCAAATTCAAAAGCTCACACACGCCCTCGGCTGGCGAGCCCAGTGCAACCTGCCCAGATGCGGGCCCAGATCAAACTGTGTCCCAATGGAAACCAGATGGACGCGTTCAGCCGGGCAGCTCCACAGGACCTCACTCCCCACCGACCACTTCCCCCTGGCTTCCCGGTGTCTGAGCGGCACAGTGCGGTGGGAGTTCATACCTACCAGTATGGCCAATGAATGAGTAACTCCCCACACAATTAAGTCTAGAAAATCCTTCATAACAAATTCCCCTCTGGGAGAGTCAAAATGCTACATAGCTTAATAAAGGCTCTGAGAAGGCCTGCAATGAAAAAGAACTACTGGCATTTCAGAAGCAGTGGAGCACGGAGCACTGCCAGGGCACAGTGCTGACGTGCTGCCGAGCACCCACCGGGAAAGGCTGACCTGGCTGGCCAGCGAGGCGGCCGGGGCTCAGGCCAGGGCCTGGCCCCAGATGGTGTCACGAGGCTCTAACCCAAGAACAGACCCCTCGCTCTTATGCAACAAGACGTCTTCTGTTAACACAGAGCCGTGCAGACAGTAAGCTTCACTCCACACCCACAAGAAGTCACCGCCTGTGGGTGCACCTGGTCTGGACACGAACAGGACACAGAGGACCAGAGCCTTACAGTCCACGTCCATGTCCATCACACGCTCTTAGGGACATGACCCTGCCCTGCCATCAGGAGCAGCCCAAGCCGGGAGAGGGTGGGAAAAGCCTAGGAAAACAGTGCTTCCTGGACAGGATTAAGTGTGCATCGTGGCTGCTTAAAGATTTTGTAAAAAGCGCAGATTCCTGGGCCCGTCTTCCAGGGATCTGGACTCACTGGCTCTGGGTAGAGCCGGAGTCTGTATTTTTAAAGAGCAGCCGCCGAGCAGCCGAGCCCGCGGGGGGCACTCACCTTGGTGATCTTGCCCCCGCTGAAGTTGGCGAAGCGCTTGAGGGAAAGCGTCAGGACGTTGGACGCCCTGTGGATGGTGAAGCGCTTGCTGGCGGGCACCTTCTTCTTGCACCTGAGGGGAAAGAGGGGGTCAGCCCGTGTCCCCAGGGACTGTCCTCACACTAGTTGAAAACAGTCACACTGCGCGGTAACAACAGCTCTTCCTAAACGAGACGTGTGGCTCCTGCATCCCTAACCACCAGCGCCACCGCAGGGAAGGAAGCCACGCAGGAAGCAGGCCAGGCAGCGGAAAGCACTGCCCAGCTCGAGGCTCAGATGCAGAAGTGACTGTGGGCTGACACAGCAAAGAACAAACCAGAGCCGACCGGCTGGTGGCAGCGGGGCAGGCAGGGACTCACTGCACAAAGCCAGAGACACGGAACGAGAGGGAGGGGCAGGCGCACGGACAGGCAGCTTCCAGGCACAGGAGTGGGCGTAGGGGGTGCTAAAGGGGGTGTTTGGGCACAGAATGATCAACCCAAAAGCAGAATTAAGAAAACTGTTCTTTACAGCTTTCAAACGACCTAACTAGACAGTAACAACACTCCCCACACTGAGCCTGCACAACCCCCAAGGGACGGGTCAGAGCTGCATCTGCGGAGGTGGAAAATGCCAAGAAAACGCAAGAAATGGCAGGTGCAGAATGGGGTCATCTAAGGGCGGGGTGGCAGCGAGGCCCTGCAGCTGACGGGCGGGTGCACGCCCCTGGGACACGGGACCACTGCCGGGCCTGCTTCCCACGAGGACAGGGAGGCCCCTGGGGGCACAGGGAGCGCCTCACGAACATCGGTCGGTCAGACCGCGGGGCACTGTGTCCGTGGCCTGCAGTTTGTTGGAGGACAGGCTGATGGTCCTCAAGCCATGTGGGCGGGCCACGCGCAGGCGGGAGGGGCCCCGGCCGTGCCAGGTCAGGTGACCGGGACTCACCGGGCGCACATGTAGGCGTTCTCCCCGCTCAGGGCGTCCGGCCTCACGAAGAGTTCGAGTGCACGCACGATGTTCGCCGCCTGCTGAGGGCGGAACGGAGCGTGAGCGCGGAGCAGGCTCCCTCCGCGGCGCCAGCACCAGGCCCTTCCAGGCTGAGCAGCACAGCCCTCACTGCGCTGGCACAGAAACTGCCTGCCGCTGCCACCTGGGGCTCAAAGCCATAGCAGAGGGACAGGGGAGCCGGGCTGTCCCCCTTCCTGCCCCGATAGGCAGGCTCAGAGCGGAGCTGACCGGGGACTGGTCCCGGGTTCCACACACCTGCATGCTATCTTTGTTTTTTAAATGAGAGAGAGAAACGTGCACAGGAAAAGGCTGGAGAGAAATGTGTGAACATGCTGGTTCCTGCTGTGAGGACGATGCTAATTGAGCATCTCCCCTCACCTGGTGGGTATGGGCATGTGGGCTGGAGTGGGGTGAGTGGGTATGGGCGTGTGGGGTGGAGTGGGGTGGGATGGGGTTGGTATGGGTGTGTGGGCTGGAGTGGAGTGGGGTGGGTATGGGCGTGTGGGGTGGGGTGGGTATGGGCGTGTGGGTTGGAGTGGGGTGGGTGGGTGGGGTGGGTATGGGCGTGTGGGGTGGGGTGGGTATGGGCCTGTGGGTTGGAGTGGGGTGGGGTGGGGCGGGTATGGGCGTGTGGAATGGGGTTGGGTGGGGTGGGGTGGGGCGGGTATGGGCGTGTGGAATGGGGTTGGGTGGGGTGGGGTGGGGCGGGTATGGGCGTGTGGAATGGGGTTGGGTGGGGTGAGGTGGGGTGGGGCTTTTGGCCCTCTGTCCGCCAGGTCCTACTGCAAACAGACTGGGGGTGGGGGGCGGGGGGGCTGTGTGTACCCGGATCTCCAGCGCCACGTCCAGGTAGGGGTCGTAGGTGTCCGACACGCTCTTGCACACCGAGCACTTCACTGCAACAGAGCAGAGGGCGGTGGTGGGCAGATACCCCCCCAGGTGTCCGAGCCCTAGAGCCACAAGGTCCCCCGGCAAACCAGCCCCTCGAGACCTCAGCATCCACAGAGAGAGCTCATGGGCCCCCAGGGTCCATAAGACGACGTACATCAGGCCCAACGCTACCCCGAGGAGCTAGGGCGTCACGGGAAGAACTGCTGCCCTCACTAAACACATGCTTGACGGCTCGCTCACACTTCCTCCCAGGAACAGGGTGCCCGTCAGGCACAGCTCAGGCACAGGGCGTGTGCGCCCAGACCCGGGCCTCGGGTCCTGCCTAGGAAAGAGCCCAGCCTGGCGCTAGCTCTCAGCACCCCCGGTTCCTCCTCAGTCCTGACAGGAAGGGGGAGAGAAGAGCTTCCGCTTACCACGCGACCTGAGGCAGCCTCCAAAAATCTGGTGGACCAAAGTGGTGGCCTGCGTTTGACGGTCCAACCTGTGAAAGAGGCCACAGCCGTCAAGCGGACGCCAGGAAGCAGCAAAGCAGCGCTGGCTCCCCGCCCACTGCACACCCCAGGGCATTCCCCCACAACCCGGAGTCTGGCATACCCAGCGGGAGTCTCGGCAGGACCCCGGCAGTGCTCGGACCCACGTGGCCCGCTCCCCACACCCACCCCGCAAGCCTCCCGTTGCTCTCAGTGGGCGGCCTCGCTCCCAGTCTCCGCTCAGGCCCTGATCAGCCCTGCACGGTCACCTCACCCTCCTCCACTGGCTGGGCATGTGCCAGCCTCCGATCGGGGACAGAGGCCACCGGGTGGGTCCTTTCCGCAGGACAGAGGGTCCCAGGCAGGGGCTCGGGTCGGGCAAGCCTGTGCTCAAGTCCCCCAGCCCGTTTACTAACTACAGGACGCAGAGCACAGCGCCTGAGTGCTCACGTGAGGAAGACTCTCGAGGCAACACCATATCCAGCCTCTGCTCTGGGTTTTCACCCGCAGCCCCTGCACCTGCCTGACTCATTCCTCAGGCCACCGAGACCGCCAGGACACTAGCCTCATCGGCCTTAGTCTTCTTTAAAAAGATGGAAACGCCACAGGGGACGCCCAGCGCGGCCCGCTCCCTCCCAGGACAGCGTCCCCTCCACCGGCACCTGCCCCTCTCCCCAGACACCTGACTCCGCGGCCAGGGCTCCTCACCACATGTAGCGGCCCGGAGGACTCTACACACGTGCGCGTGCACATACACGCGCGCACACACGAGAAGGCCCCAGCTCAGCCTGTTGTCCAGTCTATGTGACTGCTGACAGCAGGGCCACCCAGACCCCGGGAGCTCGGGGGGGAAAACACTCCAAGACACATGGGGACCAAGAGTCACCAAATCCTTACTTTGCAAAGTCAGGAAATGAAAAGTGAACGGCACCACCTCCTCTCACCACCACCATCCACAGAAGGGACACTGAACCCCACGGCAGCCAGGAGACAGCAGCGCCCAAGTCACCCAAAGGGGCCGGGACGGAGCGAAGGGAACCACAGGACCCTCTCCGTTCGGCCCGACAGCCTCAAACGCCAGATGACTCGTAAGCAGGACACGGAAGCGATGCCAGCCGCCGGCATGACGCCACCCGGCCTTGGTGCAGGTCACGTGTGGTCCAGAAACACAAGTGAGGGAAACGGGGGAACCAGGCATGGCCCGAGTCACAGGAAACCCACAAGGACGCAGCTCTCAGACTTGGGGACCAAGGCACAGCGGGGAGGCAGCCCCCGAACACGGCGATTCTCAGCCAGAGGCCAAGGCAGATGGGCTCCCCGGGGAACCGGGCGGTGAAGGGCAAGAGAAGAAAGGAGAAACTCGGGGCCTGAGAAACCACGGCAATACCACAGCCACGCAGCCCTGGGCCTGCCCACGGAGCGCACTCCCCCGGGCCGGCAGGAGGGGGCGCCGGGGTGAAAGCCGTGCAAGTCGCCCAGTTCTGGGGACAGATGAAAACTGCTTCCACCCAAGCAAGCGTGGTTCACGCAGGAAACAGTGAACCAGAAGCAAACCTGCCCTCGAGGAAAACTAGCCCAGAAACAAGCACAGAGCAGGGGAGGCGCAACCCGCACTCCCGGCCGCGTGAGCGCCTCTGGGGGGCGACCACCACCCCGAGTAGGAGACTTTCCAACTCAAATAAGAGAGAGTTCACTGAGCTCAGGAAGGACGTGGAAAAAGACTCGCGTCAGACACGGAGGCTGAGCTGCCAGTGCCCCTGGAGGAGGGCGCGGGGGAAGCCCACTGCCCAGACCTTAAACCTGAACCCGCCCCCCTCAGCCCAAACCCAAACTCATGCATCCTACCCCGAGCCCAGCCTCCCCAACTCTCCCGCCTCCAGAGCCTGCCTCATCCGCCTGGCCCAGGGTCAGGGTCAGGGTCAGTCATGGTCCTGAGAGCTCCGCCTGGGCAGGGCTGGGGCCCAGTGCACTGACGTGCTGCGCCCACCCGCACAGCACCGCCTGCCGCTGTGGCCTCGCGGCCCAGCCGCATTCCTCCAGGCCAAGCCCGGGGGTGGAGGGGAGCAGGTGGGAGGCTCCAGAGAGCTGCGTCCTGGGCTCGCCACTCTGCCCTCACACACCCTCTCCTGGGCTCTGAGCACCGGCCACGGCACCTGGGCAGGGGGAGCACAGAAGGCCTTTCCCAGGGAGCACGTGCAGCCTGTCTGAGGTCAGCAGGTCTGGACCTGACGCCATAGCGCAGAGGGAACGGGGTGGGAGTGAGGCCTGGCCGCCCCCAGTGAGGAAAGGTGGGGAGGGCAGGACGTACTTGGCATAGCCGCTCAGGCAGGCCTTCTGCATGGCGTCGATGGTGTACCGCAGGAACTCGTGTGCATCCTCCTGGTTCCCGAAGCGGAAGTGCCGGGCGATCTCTGCGGAGGGGGGAGGGAGGAGCACCGTCAGACGGGAGGGGAGCCCCTGCTTCTTCAACGCCCCACGTGCATGCCCACCTCCCGGCGACCGGTCCACGGCAGACCTTTCCAAGGGCGACGAGGAAGCAAGCCATGCTCATGTGACACCCCCTCATGGCCCAACTTTCCAGGCTCAAACCCTCCCCACTGGACAGGAGCGGGGGCTCGGGGTGCCCACGCCGACCATAAACCCCCCTCGACCCCGCATTCCCAAGCCGATGCAGCACCGGGGGATTCGTGATGCTTCCACCCACCTGGCTTCCAGCACCAGCTCCCTGTCCCGCCCGGTGGGAGGCCATCGGACTTTGCCTCACCCCATCTCTGTCGCCCGCTCATCATGCTCACCTGCCCCCACTGTGACACTGTCCCCAGACCCCGACCACAGCCATCCAGAGCCCACTGCCCTTCAGTGTGCGCCGCCAGCCCTCCACACCCAGTCACTGGCCCTGAGTCTCAGGACGCCCCGTCCCCTCCACACCCAGCAGCCGCTGTGGAGCCCGCAGGCGGGAGGCCGGGACCCACTTACTTCTCAGGTCCCGGATGAAGGACACGGGCTTGATGGCGTTGCCGCTGTTGGCGAAGGCCTGCACGAGGTGGTTCTGCATGACGCACAGCATGCAGAAGCTGCCCTGCGGACCTGCGGGCGAGGCCTGAGGTGAGGCTCCCCCCCCCACACACACACACGCACACACATACATGCAGAGGCCGTGCCCAGACTCCCCCCACGCCTCAGGGCCACGACCCCCCGCACACACACACACACATGCAGGGGCCATGACCAGGCTCCCCCACACCTCAGGGCCACGACCCCACCCCCCCACACACACACATACATGCAGGGGCCGTGCCCAGACTCCCCCCACGCCTCAGGGCCACGACCCCCCGCACACACACACACACACATACAGGGGCCATGACCAGGCTCCCCCACGCCTCAGGGCCACGACCCCCCACATACACACACATACATGCAGGGGCCGTGCCCAGACTCCCCCCACACCTCAGGACCACGATCCCCCCCGCACACACGCACACACATACACGCAGGGGCTGTGCCCAGACTCCCCCCTGCCTCAGGGGCCACGACCCCCCACAGCTGTGCTCCTCTCCCCCGTGACCGGGTCTGGTGGGGACCCCTGTAGGCCCTCCTGCTCCTTCAGCACATTAGTTACAGAGATCAGGCCGATGCCCAAGGCGGAGTTCCGGGCACTGTGTCTGACTCCAGCTGCGTCACGGGGCCACCAGCCAGAACACTAGGGCTCCTGCCCCCAGCCTGCCCGCTGCCCCCAGGAGGTGCCCGCTCCCGTGTCAGGGCTCAGGAAACCTACATGAGGCCCCGTGTAGTCAACAAGTCCCATCTGTGGGCCACCCAGCCTGGTACCTGGTGTCAGATCACCAGGTGGCAGACACGTGCCCGAGCTGGCAGCAGCTGACCCCCCAGGCCGAGTCCGTCACCGATACTGTCTGCTCCTCCCCAGGCACTAGGCCAGACAGTGGTACAATCTGCCTTTATTTAAAGTTATGAGACACTGACGTAGAAAGAGAAGCACAAGACTGTCCCACCACCCAGCTCATTTTAGGTTTCCAAAGGGAAGCACTAGGGAGTCTGCACCCTCCCAGTGCTCAACCCCTCCCGCTCCTCCATCAGAGCCCGCAGCCGAGCCAGGCCATCACCATCTGAACCCCTTGGGGTGGGAAGACTGCACACCCCGTCAGCGGCACTGCAGCTGCGGGTCAAGCTTCCTTTGCATCCACCCCCCACGGTGTGTGACCACAGCCTGCTGTTCAAATCCCGCAGCCTGCGCTCAGCCCTCGCACACGCGCGGAAGGAGCACAGCCCATTACCCAGCCCGCTAGGGGACGCTACCCGCCCTCTCCCGCCGCCAGGGCGGTGCTGCCCCGAACGGCCCGTGCCCGTATCCTGGTGTGCGACCGTGACTCCAAGGGCGAGCATATCCTGCAGCACGGAGACCTCTCCAAGCAGGTTCCACTCCACCATCTCCCTCTCCCCACCAGCACCCAGACACCAGCGGCCCAGGCCCCCTCGGAATCAACACTGAGCAGCACGCAGCCTGTTCGCCGCACACACAGCAACGCCACTGCGGCCCCAGCCGGGTGGCTGAGTCAGCTGGAGCGCTGTCCCGTACAACACGAGGCTGTGGGTTCGGTTCCCGGTTAGGGCACAGACTTAGCTGTGGGTTCGGTTCCCGGTCAGGGCACAGACTTAGCTGTGGGTTCGGTTCCCACCTGCACCGTCGTCCTCCACAAGGCAGAGAGCCAGTTTGGGCCCAATCCCTGCAGGCCAGACCGAGAGACTCGAAATATGCTCAGAGAAGGAAATATGCTCAGAGAAGGAAATGTGCTCAGAGAAGTTTGGAGACCGTTACTCCTCCTGAGCAGTGCGTTTTCATGGCCTGTCCCGCAGTGGGCACCCCTGAAGTTGGGTTTTATCGGTTACTAGGTGTCATGAAACGACACCCCTAAGTGTGATCCAGGCTGCACGGGGGCGCCACCAGCACGCGGGTCTAATTAGCCCAGCGGTTCCGGGCCTCGGAGCCCCCCCGCCCCCCCCACGGCGGGCACTCACAGCTGCGCGCGTGCTCCCGGGAGAGCAGGTAGTTGGCCAGCGGCGGCGTGTAGCTCAGGCACTGCACGGTGGAGTTCAGGAAGCACGTGTTGCCCAGGTTGTGGAGCCCGGCGCCCACGCGGTAGATGCGCTCCCACTTCAGAGACAGCCGCTCCACGGGGAAGAGCACCTTCTGCGGGGCGGGGACGCCGTCGCCTCCGCTCTCGGACACGCGCTCACAGCCTGGGACGGACAGGGAGAGAGGGTGACGCACTTCTAGGCGCAGACAGGACCGGCGACGTGCACTTGGCAGGCGCCTGTCCAGCACGGCAGCGAAGGGAACTGGTGTGCCATTGACTGGAAGCTCCATCAGCCGAGGAGGAAGCCCAGGCACCCAGGACCTTCCCGAGGGCGCCGGCCAGGAATTCAAGGCCTCCCACGGCGAGAGGGTGAGATGCAGGGAATGACGAGCCGGAGGAGCCGGGCCCGGCCCCCTGCAGCTTCTTTCCAAGCCCAGGGCTGTGAAACACGCATTCCCAGGAAAGCTAAGGACACGGTCTCTTTCTGCCCGGCCCCGGGTCACTACCTCTGCAACCCAGACCCAGGGACCCCACAGAAACTCACAACTCTGACCAACCTGCTCTGGTTCCTACCAATCCGTCAACGCTTCGCCCACCCACTTGGTGACCACCCAGCGAGGCCCCCTGCCCGCCTGCCCGGCGTCTGTACCCGGCCTCCTGGCGGGGGGCTCGTCCCCGCGGGGGCGCGCGGCGCCCTCCGGCCTGGGGTTCAGCAGCACGTATCTGCTCCGCAGCGACTGCAGCCGGTGGGAGAAGCTCCGGCTGGCCGGCTCGAACTCGATCTTCTGCAGCAGAACCTTCTTGGCAGAGGCGGCCAGCAGCCGCCCCAGCTCGCCATCGTCGGCCGAGTCCTTGCGGCCGGGTTTCAGGGCTTCCTTCAGCTTGTCGACGATGGGCATGGCGTCACTGCGGGGCGAGAAGAGCACGGGGCCCGGTAGCCAGGGGCCCGGACAGAGTCCGACTCCGAAGAGCCCTTCTTTGTCACCGGGAGCGCTCCTCTGGGCGGCTGCCAGCCCCACGGAGGAAGCGTGAACCACGGAGCCACCCGGACAGAGGGTCCACGCTGCTCCTCTCAGAGACAAGGCGCCTCTGCAGAGAGCGCTGCACAGACAGGGCGGCACCGGGAGGCCAGGGCCCCCTCGGGCGTGCCTCTCTCCCTCAGGGAGTGGGGGCTTCGTGCACGTTCCGTCCAAAGGCGCCCGGGGGTCCTAACGCGTGCTCTGAGCTAGGGAAACACCAGTTCTCACGCGACACTCTGGTTACACACCCACGTCCACGTAACACAGGGGCCAGTGAGGCAAGTCGAGGAGCGCGCTTGTCTGCCCAGACCCATGCTCTCCAAATCGAAGCCACAGCCACACGTGGCCACTGACCACGTGGGAGGAGGCCGCTTCAAACCGTGCAGTGAGTGACATACCCCAGATTTCGAGGACTTAGTATGAGAAAGTAAAACATTCCAATAGTCTTTAGATTGCTTATATGCTGAAATGATATTTGACATATATTTGGTTAAATAAAATAGACCGTGAAGCTTAATTTCAGCTTCTTCTTTTAAAATATATTTTTAGTGATTTCAGAGAGAAAGGGAGAAGAGAGAGAGAGAGAGAGAGAGAGAGAGAGAGAGAGAGAGAGAGAGAGAAACATCAATGATGAGAGAGAATCATTGATTGGCTGCCTCCTGCACGCCCCATTCTGGGAATCGAGCCTGCAACCCGGGCCTGTGCCCTGATGGAGAATCAAACCGTGACTCCTGGTTCATAGGTTCATAGGACTCCTGGTTCATGCTCAACCACTGAGCCACACCGGCCGGGCTGCTGCTTATTTTTAACGTGGCTCGTGTAACGCTTGAAATTGCGCCCATGACTGCATACTGGGCAGATCACCTGCGTAAAGGGACGGTGACGGGACTAGATGGTAAGCACGGGGTGCCCAACGCAAGCAAAGGCAGCAGGGCCCCGGGCTCCGGAATGGGCAGGCCTGGCTGTCCTTCTCCACTTTAAACTCCAGGGACCGTCACTGTGACTCCCACGGGCCCTAGTCTTTAACAGACAGGGATGAAGATACTCCACAGGGTGTGAAATCAACGGGCCGACAAGCCCTGGACGAGGGCTGAGCGCCGGCTAGAGGGAGAGTGCTGGTGAGGCGGCCACAGAAACTAACAGACAGCAGCCCATCACCTCTGCCAGCTTCTCTTCCCACCCCACAGCCACAGCTCGGACATTCCAGGCCCCGTTAGGAAAACAGGTTCCCATCAGAACAGTGGCAACCCCCTCGGGCCCCTCCCGCCACAGCAGCACCGACTACGCCAGGAGCACCCAGACCTTGGCTCTGATGAGAGCCGATCACGTTTCTGGCCATGAAGCATCTAACTTCACACATGGGCCAAGTCTGTTAGTCCGTCAAAATGTCTGTAAAGTACAGGATTGTAGAATGTATCTTTAAAAAAGAAAGTACACGTTCTTTGAGGAAATAAAAGCATCCTTCGGGGGGAGGGGGGATCCTCTGAGAGCCCTCACCCTGCACGGTCCCACGCGGGAAGGGATGAAAGGCGCAGGGACACACGCTTACCCGGGACGGGGGAGCCGGGGCTGCAGCATGGGTCAGGCTCCGGGCCAGACTGGGCGGGTGTGGGGCCGGACCCTCCAATGCATGTGCTCCTCGCGCTCGGCCCGTTAAGCCACCAAAGCTGCGAGCCTGACGTCCAGAACCGGCGTCAGAACCTGTGGGTAAACAGCAGCCGTGAGCAGCGTCTCCCGTCTCCCAGCCCCTCCAAGTGCGCAGCGGAGGGCGGACACCTGCCGGGAACAGCATGGACCTGGGAAGAGTCAGGAAGAGTCGCTCGCGGGGCACGGGATGAAAACAGCTATTTAAATTTTCACGTCAGTGGCGGACTTGTGAACAAAACCTCCCCCATCCGCCAGTCAGCCCCCCGACCCGTCAGCCCCTCTAACCCGTCAGCCCCCCGACCCGTCAGCCCCTCTAACCCGTCAGCCCCCCGACCCGTCAGCCCCCGACCCATCAGCCCCCGACCCATCAGCCCCCGACCCATCAGCCCCCCGACCCATCAGCCCCCCGACCCATCAGCCCCTCCAACCCGTCAGCCCCCCGACCCATCAGCCCCTCCGACCCGTCAGCCCCCGGACCCGTCAGCCCCCCGACCCGTCAGCCCCTCCAACCACATTCCGAAGAGGAAGAGGTACCAAACAGAATGCTCTCCGCTCTCCTACTAAGTGAACCAGCGAAATTAAAAATAAATAAATAAATAAATAAGTCGAAGGAGCAGTAGGAATTGACAAATTTTCCCTTGGCTTGGTGTGCATTTCCCCCTCTAATTACCACCCAGCATCGCTATGATTACATGACACTGAGGTGCTTTCAAGCATTTCAGTGCGAAAATGCTCAGACGCACACAACGTGGGGAGAACAGCACAGGGTCCCCCTCACCCCATTATTCAGCGTCGTCAACAGCCATCACCACGCAGTGCCATCCATCACTGCCCCGCCGTGACCCCGCTCCACCCTCGCAGGACTGAACAGCCAATTCCAGACACAGCCCGTCTCCTCCCCACGGATAAGGGCTATGACACAAGACAGACAAAGCAGAACAGAAACTCCCTACAGAGTCCATGCTGCAGCCCAAACTCACCCCGCACGCGGACAGGTGAGCTTGGGGGCAGGTGAGCCCTGGTCCTGGGCCAGCGCGGGTCCAGCTTGGGAGGTTGAACCCAACTGAATGGGAGATGAGGACCCGACACGGCACCTGCCCAGAGCCCGCTCCACGTGGAGTTAAGTGCTGACAGCACGTCCGCCCTCTGTCTCCGCCCCCCCCCCCCCCCACACACACACACAGGAAGCGGCCCCTAGAGATGACTTCCCTGGAGGTGCGGGGCACAGAGCCCGGGCCTGCGAGGCCAGCATCCCCGCCAGGCCGCGGTTCCCGCCCAGGAGGGACCCTCCTCCCGGGGCCTCTACCTCGGAGAGCGCTCAGCGCCGCTCCGCCGACCGGCACCCCCCGCTCCCGACAGCACCCCGACCCAGTCACCCGCGCGCGGGCGGGAGGAGCGGGGGGCAGCGCGGGGCCTCCGGGCTCCCTGCCCAGCCAGCACCGGCCCCCGGCCGGGCCCCGGGAGCTGAGCGCCTCTCCGAGAGCCCCCCTCCCCGCACCCCGCACCCGCACCCGCACAGGAAGTCCTGCTCAGGTGCCACGCTAGCTCCTCCGACCCGGGGGACCCGACAGCACCGGCGAGGCCACGGCGCTTGACACCCACCCAGGACCGCAAGGCCCACCGGGGGGGGGGGGGGTGATCCAACGCGCTTGCCGCGGGGAAGCAAACACCACCCGCTCCTCCCGACCTGACCGAGCACCCAGGCCCGGCCAGGCCCGCGGGAAGGACGCTCCCTGCGCGACACGGGGCCCAGCGCGGGCACAGGCCGCGCCTCCCCGCCCGGCTCCTCGGCTCCCTCCGGCCGGGTTCGCGGGGACAGCAACGGGACCCGGGCCTCTCCGCGGGCCCCGAGCCCCTCTCCTACCACGCAGCCCGGCCTCCCGTGGACCCGGAGCCATCACGGACACGCGCCCCCGTTTCCCCGCAGAGCCCAGCCAGCCCCGTGGACCCTCGGACACGCGCCCCCGTTTCCCCGCAGGGCCCCCGGGTGCGCCCGTGTCGGGCCGCAGCTTCCCGCGCAGCAGGCCCGGCGGAGGCCTTCCCCGCCCCGGCCGGACAGCAGCCTTGCCCCGGCCCACGCGCCGCCCAAACTCGGCCCAACTCACCCGGCCCGCGGCCCGCCCGCTGCAGCAGCACCAGCGCAGGCGTCTGCTCGGCCCGGGCCCCGCACGCTCACCATCCGGGCCCTCGGCGCTGCACACACGTGTCACCGCGACACTTAAAGGCGCCGCGGCCCGCGGCCAGTGCGGCGGAAGACGGAAATACCCGGGCGGCTTTAAGAGGAGGGGCTGGCCTCGGCCCCGCTCCCTGAGCCCGCCCACAGCCCCCTTACGCACCGGAAACGTCACCTCCCCATCCGCGGTCCCGCCAGCCTACGCAATGACGCAAGCACGCCGAGCGAAGGCGCCCCGCCCCCTTGGCCCGCGCTCGCCGAGTTCCCGCAGAGCACGTGAGGCCCACTTCCGGGTCCCCAGCGGGCGGCGAGCACACCTGGCGCTGCGTGCTGGCCGCGCCCCTTCCCACCTGCTGTTACGCCAGGACGCGGAGGCCGGGTCTCACCCTCGGGGCCTCCAGTGACCCAGGCGGAGGCCGCGGTCCCGGCAGCGGGCCCAGGGAAGCGGGGAGCGGGGGCGGGGGGGAGGGGAGGCGGGGGGCGAGCCCTGCGCAACTCCCCGACCCCTCCCTCCAAAGGCATCATCCCGTGAAGACTACGTCAAGGCTTTGGTGGAATGTTTGCAAATATGCACTGCTTTTGCAATATTTTTTTAAATATATGCTTTACATTTTTAGAGAGGAAGGGAGAGGGATGAAGAGAGAGAAACGGCGATGAGGGAGGCGCCCCCTACTGGGGCTGGAGCCCCAAACCCGGGCAGGTCCGGGAATTGAACCCGAGACCGCTGGGTTCATGGGTCCATGCTCAACCACTGAGCCACACCACCAGGCTGCTTTATTTATTTATTTATCGTTTATTTATTTTATTTATTGTTTTATTTGTTTGTTTGTTTATTTATTTACCATCCTTTTCCCTTGAAGCAGCTCCGTGGCCTCCGGCTGGCGGAGAAGCCGTTCCTAGCCTGACCTCTGGTGGTGTTCTCACATTCGGCAAAGGGTGCAAATAAAGGGTTTTCCCAAAAGGCAAAACCTGCGCATGCAGCCCTATCTGCTGTGTCTTGTCTCAGGCCGCCCTGCCAGTTCCAGGGCAGGGACATGGGGTGTAACTGGAACAAAGTTCACCCCGTAGTTAACACGTGGGTGTTGCTGAGTTGTTTGTTTTTTAAAGCAAATGAAAAACAAAACCTTAGGAGCCTATTCCTTACCGGAGAATCCTCTACCAAGCTGCAGATTGAGATTTGTCCCCGCGCGAGTCGGCTCTGGGCCCTAAGAATGATTCAAAAACACTCCTCACTACGCCAGGCCTGATACAGTATATGTGAGTGATTACAAGGGGGCCAGCTGCGGGCGGGGGCAACTGGCAGGGGAACGAGGAGACTATTCCAGCGCTGTCTCTAAATAGCAGGGGTTTGGGGACACTTCTCTTAACTAACTCTGAGCCTCAGTTTCCTTATCCTATATAATAAAAGGCTAACGTGCAAATTGTCCCCTGGGGCGGGAGTTCGACTGTCCGGAGCTCGAGACCTATAGCTCGAGACCGACAGCTCGCTATGACGTGCGGCCAGCAGCCACTAGGGGCCCTACCTGTGCATGAATTTCGTGCACTGGGCCTCTAGTCTGAAATAAAGATGTTCGCCAGCTTCTCTTTCATCCTTCCAATAAAAAATGACATTTACTTCCATTGCTGAGCTCACACGTGCCAAATACCGAGCTGGCCACTTGGCCAACATTGTCTGCTTTAATCCTCAGGGCAGCCCACAGAAAGATATGGTTCCCGTCTTACAGACGGAAAAGCTTGCATGTGCGGGCTCCCAGCAAGCAAGCGGGGAGGCCCTGAGGGTCGAAACCCAGGTATTTGTTAGGCTCTCCAAGTTCACACCTTTGGGTAACCCAGAAATCCTTGTGAGATGACAAAGAAATAGCCTGGTCCTGCTCACTGCTTGGGAATGTAATCTGAGCCCTCAATGCGGGGAGGAGCCTGGGGCCACCCACACTCCAGCTCTGCTCCCCCTTCACCTTCCCTCCTGAGGCCTTCGGAGTGGAACCTTCTGGAGGTATGTTCACGGGACTCACATAAAACCCCTTCCGAGGGTGCTCAACCTGAGAGGTCAGCTGAACAATGCAGGCGACAACCACGGGGAGGCACATTTCACGCCCCCCAGAAGAGCTGGAATAAAGACTAGATGCTGTAGGAGCTTGTAGACCTAATGCGAAGCCACCGATTTGGAAATGAATTTGTGTTTCTTGTAAGTAACAGGAGCACTGACCGTGTGAGCACATCCATTGCTCCCGCCACTGCAGGGCTGCGGGCTGGCAGACTCCCGCTGTGCAGAGGCAGCCCTCTCTCCCCATCTTTGGAATCGTGGGTCCAGACAGTGCCTCCTGGACAACTCCCCTGGAGGCCCCAGGGGCCCCCCACACTCACCACACCCAGAAACTGCCCGCTCCCTCCCTCCCCTAGGCTGCCTCTCCATTTCTGCCCTGTCGCCCACTTGGGCTGCTGTGTTGGCACTCACACCAAATCCTCGCCCTTTCCCACTCTTCCCAGGCTGCCCTGGGAACTGTTCTGGGGGTGGGGGTGGGAGTGGGGGGGGAGCCTGGCCACTTGGCGACTCTTGCAAGACCAGAGGGTGCAGGGAAGGAGAGGCAGAGCCATCCCTCCTGCTCATCTGGAGCCCCCGCCTCCCACGTGTGCACGCCCTGGGCTCCCCCCGAGGCCCGCCACCCACAGGTGCTGACAGCTTCCTGTGGGCCCTCGCTGGCTTCTCGGGGAATTGCTTCTGTTAAACAAAACTTTGAACTTCCAGGGTGAAACGCTTAAGAAAGGTTTTATTGAGCCAAAATGCTAGCCCTAAAGAAGACTGGTCACCCGGCTGGCCTGGCTCAGGGGCTGAGCATCGACCTATGAACCAGGAGGTCAGGGTTCGATTTCCCGTCAGGGCATATGCCTGGGTTGTGGGCTCCATCCCCAGTGTGGGGCGTGCAGGAGGCAGCCAGTCAGTGATTCTTTCTCGTCATTGATGTTTCTCTCTCCCTCCCTTCCTCTCTGAAATCAATAAAAACATGAGGAAGATGAGAGTTGGCAAATGTTCAACGAGATAACGTATGTGGAGCCCTGAGCATAAGTCCCGGCGTGGCCAGCGTTAGCTGACTGAGCTGCTGGGTGCTGGGTGGTTTCCTAAGCAGCCGTCCACGGGAGTTCGGGCAGGGAGTGTCCTGAGCTGGGGGGCAGGCCATGAAAGGAAACGGACAGCGCTTGTACCTGCAAAAGGGTCACCCCAGCGGGCCCTGGATGGCAGAAGGGCTCCCCCATTCGCTGCTCACAAGCCTCACTGTTTGTTGAGCTGCACACCTGCTTCCTCTGGGAGCCTGGAGGGTGCCACGTGCTGGGCAGAGGGCGCCCCACCACAACCCTGGGGCGTCTCTAACCAGCTCCCCTGGTTGGAATGTTGCCCCTGCTCCGCCCCCCACCCCAGACGCCGCCTGAAGGGGCAAAGCAAGACACGAATGGCCTAAACGTAAAAGGTCCGGCTTCCTTCTTCTCTGGGTGACAAGCAGCCCTGCCTCTGCACCTCATCTTCGATCCCGTCCTCAAATGCTCCTCACACTCACCCTCTCCGTGAGGCTGGCGTCGGACCCGTCGCCTGGTCTCCTGGGAACTTCTCCCGCTGCCACAGCACAAGCACGGGCAGCGTCAGCTCCTGGTTCTGAATGGCTCCCCCGCCATCGGTTGGGCTCTTGGAGGGGAAATCTGCGATCACAGCTGAGTGAGTGACCAGATCAAAGCACCGCCTCTCCCTCGCACTGCAGGATGGGCGAGGCGCTGCGGGGACCAGGTGCTGCGGGACCAGGTGCAGGGGCGCGGGGGCGGGGGGGCAGCTCCGAGCCCGGACCCCAGGCTGGAGGTGGGCCTGCCCATGGACTTCAACTCTTAATGCAAAACAAACGGTGACAGCAAATGGCCTGCAATAAAACTGACCCCAGCAAAGCACGTGTCTGGGGGCCACTGTTTCGGCTGGATTTTTTTTTTAAAGTTAGGTCAGGTAAACATATCCATTAGGAATTAGGCGGGAAAAGACAGGGCCACCCAACTTTTAAAGTACTTGGACCGTCCTGGCGGCCCTTGCCTCCCTTCCCCCGCTCTCAGCCCCCCACCCTGCTGCATCCCCTACCATCACCACCCCCACCCCGACCCCTGGGTCTGCTGTGTGCTCTGCCCCGAGAGCCAGGCTGTCCTCCGTTGGCCCAGCCACTGTTCTGTCGCAGAATGAGCAAAACTGAGGGGAAATAATGGTGTCTGGTCGGCTCCCTGACAATCTGGCCCCCCATCTGTGGGCCTGCAGGCGGCTTTCAAATTGTTTGCAAAGATCAAGGAAACTTGGCTGGTGGTCGGAACCGGAGCACGGTGCACCGTCGGGAAGCCCCGCTCTCAGTCCTGTCTGTTCTGTGGCAGCTCCCGCCACGAGAAGTGTTTCTAAGAAGCCACGTGTGACCTGAACCCAGGGGTGGAGGGGACGGCCAGAGCAGTCAGCGCGCTGTTTGCCGAGCCCCCGGGCCAGGCTGGGCGCCGACGCCAGGTCAGGGCATATAGGACACAGAGAGTTTTGGCCTTATTTTTCCCAGATGCTGCCATGCACCATTTCCCCCACCGATGTCACCGACAGAAAACACTGAACTGTTTCTGCAGCCGGGGACACGAAATGGATGGCATTTAATGCTCCGTGCCGGCTCTGCGAGAGTGTGTGTGTGTGTGTGTGTGTGTGTGTGAGAGAGAGTGTGTGTGAATGTGTGTGTGTGAGTGAGAGAGTGTGTGTGTGTGTGTGAGTGTGTGTGTGTGAGAGTGTGTGTGTGTGTGTGTGAGAGAGTGTGTGTGTGTGTGTGTGTGAGTGAGAGAGTGTGTGAGTGTGTGTGAATGTGAGTGTGTGAGTGTGTGTGTGTGTGTGTGCATGTGGGAGTGTGAACAGAAAGGCCTGTGCTCAGTGAATGAAGGGGCCCCTTCTTCCACTCCTATCATTTGCCAATTTAAGGAAATCCTGTCCGGGGTGTTGGCCCGGCTCTGGGGTTCCTGCCCGGCATGGGGTTGTCTGCCTGGCTCTGGGGTGTCTGTCCGGCTCTGGAGTGTCTGCCCGGCTCTGGGGTTCCTGCCCGGCA